AATTGCCGAAGGAATTTAAGGTGATTTCATTGCGTGCCTCGGCAAAAAAAATTGCCGAGGCACTGCCGAGGCAAACTCGAAAATTATCGAAAGGCTTCGGCAATTATTTGCCGAGGCAAAAATAGTTGAATTTCGAGGGTTGCAGCGGCAGCCAAACTGATACAATGTCATGATCTGAGTATCATATTCTGGATTTAGTAATGTTTGAATCCCTGTAAAGATGAGCAAGGTACTGAAACATCCCATCATGTGAACAAGAAAACTTGAAAGGCCAAAAGCTAAGTTATAAGTAAACTAAACAAGGATCTTGTATTATGAATCCTGGTGTTTTTGTGCAGAACACAGCTCACAAATGACATGATAGTTTGGGGATTACTAAATTTTAAAGCTGTCATGATAATATATAAATTTTCTTTTTGAAAGGTTTCTTAGGGCAGTTGCATATCGGCAAGTAGTGAAGCTTGTGTGGGGCTATACCAGCAGTTCAAGAAGGTACCTCATTCCTTGCTGTGCATATGCCAAGATACGGTTTCTGTATTGTTTAAGCGAACAATGATGTATTGTTGTATCTTACCGAGTTATTTTTTAAAAACTCTGACATCATGCTTGAAAGTATGATAGTAGTAAAAAACTGTCCACAATTTCCATAGAGGAGGGGGAAACAAGCATCAGTGACTGTTAGAAAAATCTAGAGGGATGGGGATTTATAATTAAGTAAATCTCTTCCATTAGGAGGGGGGGAGGGTATTGCCTAGAACTAGACACTGAAATACTCTGGTTCACTCTTCTTCCCTTTGGTATACAGAGTGGTATAATTTGGCAGCCTTTTATTCTGGTTTTGTAACTTAAACCAGCAAGTTGAAACACCCAATGTTTCAAACAACCAATATCAAATGCTGGATGCTCAGTTAAGCAGCGGTCATGCATGTTTTCTTCCAGCTTTTTTACAAGGTTCACATAAACAACAATGAGCCAGGACACAGTTATAATACCACATTTAAAGCATTTCACCTGAGTACATTACACCAACACAGAAAATATTATAATTGAAGTATATATAATTGAAATATATTTCCCACAACCTTGTGCAAAGTAATATGTTTTCCTATGTGAATCCGAGTCCAATTTGGCTACACAGTAATCTTTAAGCCATCCCTCATTGAAGACGTTTCGTGCAATAACGGAGGTGACAATAATATTTTATAAGGAGACGAGTATGTTCCATTTGTTTTGTTTTTAATGGCCATCACACGTTTGTTTTATGTCACAAATATAACCAAAACGTACATAAATACAATCCAAAACGTACCAGGTGTCAGTTGACGTTTCCCCAGACAATCTAGCAGACAGTGTTTGCTGCTTTTGCTCTCGCTCAGGTATAGTACTCTTCATGTATTATGTTTCTTCAGTGGCAAGAGCTTAGACTGAAGTATCATAAACCTCGCAAAAATTCACACTTTTCTCCATATTTACATCACCCCCGCTATCACAAGAAACGTCTTCGGCAAAAGAGAGTTCGCAAGATGATTGTGTTGCAAAATTTGAGCTGTGGCTTTCGTCAGAAGACATCATTTTGAACAAAAAACAGCCTAGAATAAGCCTTTGATAATATTAATTTCTCCTTCGGGAAAGAAGCGTGTTGAGTAAATGACGTCACATCCGGCTAAGAAATCGACACTTCGCTAATTGACAACTCAGTAATGGCGGCCGAAAAATTTGCATGTTTGCGTTGAAAAAAAAGGCAGAAAGAAATGGAATTGGACGCTGATATTTGGTAATTTTGTTTATCTACTAATATATTTTCTGAATATACAATAAAAAGACAGCACAATTTTCCATCGCAGTGGCACTTTAATGAAGGCCCATACAGACCGGACGCTATTTGGCAACGCGACGCGAATTTTTAGTTTTCAATGACATTTAACTTTAATAGTTTGCATTGTTTTTCAAATATTCGGGACCACTTAGCAATTTTAGCTATTTGGTCTGCATTTATCCGTTGACGGTTTTATTTTTTTTTATCTGGTCGATTGTGTGGGCCTTTACACGTTTGAGAATTTAACATTGGAAAACTAAAGCTTTTTTGTCTTGTTTTTAAACGTATTATTGGAGTATTGGCAAGTTTTACCATTCAGAGATTTACAAACTAATTATATTGACAGTTTCATGATTACGCGCATTCACTAATGAGTAATGACAACTTATAAGCCATACATTTTCCGATAACGCCAAAACGCATGCGTAGTCTTTAGTCGCTCTCAGTGACTAATAAATTTTTTTGAGGTGGGGGGGGCAAAATGGGGGGAAACTCCCCCCCCCCCTGGCGCCGCCACTGAACCTGACTGGCTCAATTTTTTAGATCTCACATGAAAAAGGCAAGATCTCAATTATTCCGGGAAGATATTTTATGTCTATAAACACTAACTAGACTGACTTAGTCAAAATAAAGTCAAAACAAATAAAATTGGTCATGAAAATATTGTCAAAACAATAGAATAGTGTCGGCAAGGAAATGATAAATTATTCTGCCAAGGTCAGCCTGGCTTCCATTGATATGATGGCCTTATGGCTATAATCTAACTGTGCTGTAATCTATTCTTGCTTAAATTGCAGAATGTTCCCATAATGAGTTCATGCCACAGTTGTTACTGTTAGTGAAATTTCATACCAAGCAACATGTTTCAAAATTAAAGACAAAAATTTACTTGATTTTTTAATTATTTTCATTAAACTAGATCAAAAAATAGTTATCAAATTAGCAATAAATAATTTGAAAACCTAACCGTACAATCAAATTACATGTAATACAGTATTATTATAACTTTGTAGCTCCATGGTCTATTTTTGGCTGTTCCATGTTTTGATGCCTTGCAGTACATATACATGTAACACATTCCCACAAAATTGTAGAGAACAGTCATTGTTATAGTTCTGCCAGTTAGGTCTGGCAAGAGCTAGTGCACCACTACTTTTGCTATTTGAACATTCAAAAGAACTTGTATTAATTTCTTGTCCACATGACTTACATCACCCTAAATGAGAAATGTCCATGATTATAAAATGGTGGCAATACCAATACCACAATGAAGACACTGAAGATGTATTGGGTCACAGATCACAGACTCCTATTACAGGCAGAGAAATTTACTGTAGAGCAGAGCCCGAACTGTTCACAGTTAGACATTATTGACGTGTTAATTAACCCATTGAGCACCATGGCGCTCCCCTGTTCACAAGTAAAATTGTCTATAGTGTTAGAAAGAGTAAATAATAAAGTAGGGTGCATTGGGGCACAATGCAATTTAATGGGTTAATATGGCATGTCAAATAAATTAACTCAGGTAATTTTTTAACATATAAATTCGGGCATTTATACTCCTGTCTAATGTCAGGAAATTTTACTTGTCAAGGACACAGTCTTGTCAATTTAATAGTAATGGATTAATTGTAATAATTTCTTAACTATCCCAAAGTTTAATTTTACATTACAATATATCGAAAATAATCTATGCAGATCTAAGAGAGAAAGTTCATAAATAATGTCTACCTGAACAGTTACCAGTTGGGCTCTACTGCAATACTGGGGACACCACCACTGCATAAAGCTGCACTGAAACATGTTATGAATCATCAATCAATTTATTTGTCAGGGCACAATTTTGGACAATGCCTGGTACACGTGCACCCTTCATTCCTACAAATACAGTCCTACAACTCTAATGGCTGTGGGATTAATGGCAAACTATGTTGGGCTGGGGCCAATTGTTTAAGGTGGGTTAATGCTAACCCTGGGTTAAACTACACATCTGTGTATTTCAAAACTTCAGAGAAGTAAACTCCTATCCATCCAAACAAGATCTCTGAAGAAATATTTTCAAATTTATATAAAAGCTGTCAAGAAGTTTGATTCGAATTTTAGGTTAACCAAGGGTTAAACTAACCCAGCTTTGAACAACCGGCCCCAGATGAATAATGTATAAAACCCTATGCAAGGTTTGTGAGGAAGAGTCAAATTCAAGGACATTCAAGTCCATGTATCAGCAAATTCAAGCACTAAATACTGAAAAAAGGCGTTAGAAATCAGTAAAATCTGACGTTGAATTGTTCAAAACGCAACTTTAACGAGTTCAACAGGTTTGTCGGATATGAATATGCAAAATCAATTCAACAAAATATCCGTTTTGATTGTCAAACAATTTCAGAAAATATCCAAAAACTAAAGCAATATTTCTTTACAATTTCAAGCACATTCAAGGCCTTGAATTTTTGTTTTCAAATTCAAGGACATTCAAGTTTTGTACGAACCCTGTCAATGAAAACACAGAGGCTAGTAGTGGTGAATCAAAAGAACAATAAAATTTACTGAATTCCCAACTATTTATATGGTTGTTTATGTGTGCTGTTTATACTTTATATACTTGTGGAGGTTTGTGCTTCGTACATAATTTTCTTAATTTCTATCGAGTTCAAAGCAAGCTAGAAATTAAAAATATTCAAATAGATAAAAATCTTACCGGTGAATAAAAATATTCTTCTTGTTTGGAGAATTCTCGTACATCTACGAGCGTGAAAAGGCAGCATCGGTTGTAAAATCAAGCAAATTGGGAGAAAAATATCAAGGTTTTTAGTGAGCAAACCAGGGGGTGAAGTTAGTTGTCGAAACCTTAGGATCGCGGTTGGGACAGTGGTAGTTGCCATGAATCTAGGGACCAGTAGTCATGGCAATGGCGTCAGATCCGCCATGTTTTTGTGGACACTTTTTTATCCAGAGCAGGTCCTCCAGTAATATATAGCTCAGTGGTTTGCACCAAGAAAAACCTTCCCCAGGATAGGAACGGAAAGGAAAGTCACTAAACGTTAGTTCCAACGCTGTCCGCTTCTGTGGAATATTTTCCTGAGTGGAAATTAGCCGACAATGAAGCTTAACAAGACGAACACAGGGACACACATTAGAATTAATAACAACACGAATTTGAACAAGACAAATTACCGTTACAAGACAAACATACAGACTTCAATGCTCTAGGATTTTCAGCGTCGTAAATGTTCAGAGCCGATTTGTAATATTCATAGAGATCGCCTTTCAAAGGACCTAAGCTTATGTTCCTTGTTGTCAACTCTTTTGGTCAAATTAGGGGAAGTATAACGATTATTTTTTATGAGTTTATCAAAAATTGATAGAGTTGTGACATTGGTAGAGTTTTTCTTATTACATATGTACCAGTCGAGTGCATGTTTGATGATGGTAAAAATTGGTTGACTTCTTACTTCGTAAGCGACATTAGGGGTTTACCCCCAGAAAATTCGCGCACTGGCATTGTTAGCTCTGCGACGATCCAAAGTTGTCGCGTTTACGTCAGGATAAATTCACGTAAATAACGGAACCGGGATATAAAAACAATTTTTAATAAAAAATATAATGATTATTACCTTTCAGTTTTATATTTGCCGACTCAGAGGCGCTATAGTCAAGAAAGGATAATTCACACTTGTAGATCCCCATATTCTGCGCCGACAATGACTTCAACAACAAAGTTTTATGTTGAATTTCGCCTACCCATTCGGAATAATAATTTTTCTCCTTTTTAATTATCTCTTTGTTTGAACTGTTTTTGTACCATTTGATTTCATACCCATTGGTCGTGTTTTCTGCACTGCATGTTAGTTTGACTTCGTCTCCAATATCATAGAGTGCTTTGTTTGGTATCTTCTTTATGATTGGTCTTGCATTAGCTATTCCTATAATAAAGAGAACTCTTTACATGGTTTAAAGATTAAAATGCTTACAAACCATAGAAATAATAGACATAGAATGCGTGCTCCTATCTCTTCTCAGTAAAAATTTTGTCTCAACAAAATACCGGATTTATAAGGGCATTTTGGCTAGTCCCATACTTCTGTGGCAAGTAATTTCGCGCGGTTGCAGGGAGTGCGAATTGTTTTTTCAACAAAGTCTGTAAAAAACAATTATATCAAGACTTGAAGTGGAAAAAAAGTTTTTTAATGGAGAAAAATC